TATATATATATGACGCAAAAAGGCAGTAATATATGTGCACTAAAATCTTGTATTATAATTTTACTAGCACATCATCCCATGACCAAAAAAAATCAACAAGGGTGTCACCTAATTGTGAGACTTGAACTGAGAAGAGAACTTTATGGGAGAGATGAATTGAACCAGCAGAGCATCAATAACGTTATCACTATCACAAGAAAAATATTTTAACTCTGACGATACTTTAGTTTGAGGGTAGAAGACACATTATAATGATACTTGGAGACACTTGAGCAACTCATTTTTCTTGCCACTGCAAGTAATACATATTACTTGCTCTGACTTTTTTCAGAAATTCTCCCCCTCATCTTTCCAGGATCACATTGAGAAGAGATGCACATATATTTACTACTAAAGAGAAAAACAATTTAATCAAGTTCTACCTTGAGGAAGTGCATAGTCGACGCCAGCCAAAGCACCGTAGTTGATTGGTTCCAATTATAACCCTCTTTACGTGTTTGCAACAAAAATATCTATGCATGGACATAGATATGCCTCTCCGCAGGTGCTCCATCCCAAGTGAAGTTTGGTGAAGCCTCGCCTTCAGAATTCGGACACTAGATCTAGATCTATATTATTTGGTAGGTATTGGCGAGGGTCTCTTTTTGGAAATTCCAGTACTAGATCTAGATTAGATCTAGATCTAGTAATATGGGACTTTCATGCATTGATGATACATTTTCTAACCGAAACACTGTACAAAGAGTCTATATAAGAAAACAAAATTGAATAACTTGGTGCAGTTGTGATGTGTGGAAGACCTTCAACTGTCAGCTGTTAAACATTTTAATTTTAAGAAAGAAGACAGACAATTATTTTACAAAACACCATTCTAAATAAATAAATTAGACCTACTTTCTACAATACAGAATACAGACGACAGATCATTCAGTTTCACAACTTTCAATCTTGACTGAGAGTTAATTATTATCAGAAATTACTTTGGATAGAATCTAGATCTAGAATCTAGATCTAGATAAATCTAGATCTATCTCAATAAATAATTTCAATAAAACTAAAAATGAAATTTGAAAGGGAGATTCCCTTTTTCCAGGGAGCTTGCGGAAGGCAATTCTGATTATTTTCTTCTTTTAACTGTTATTTTTTACCAGGGCTCCCAAACACTAAGACCAGACCATTGGTGAGTGTAACCTGAACAAGACGTAATTTTATACAATTATTCTCAAGACTAATGATGCGTACAATAAACAATTCTCTGGCCAGAAACTCAAAACGGCCCTCCTCAGTCCTGCCTCATGATGAAAAAATAATAAAATATGATGACCCTTGGAAACGAAAGTAGGCGCCCTTTAGTGGGCGTCACCTGTTTGTGGATAAAAACAGTTCTTTTTCTGCAGAAGAGCTCAATACAGCATTACGGTGTGGGATAAAACTAATCATACATCATTTTAAGGACTGGTTATTAAATTAAATTTTCTTCATTAACTCATGTAATGGGCAAAAATATTACTTTTCATAGATTTTTGAATTCTGAAGTGAAGTTTGGGTCTCATTTCTCACACCTCATTTAGTAGAAATCCTGAAAAAGTACACTGGGTTGTAATATTTTCGTGACCGGTTTACTGTTATGATACTCTCAAGATAAAGTGTCCGCATAATAAACAAATACAGTGTTACTTCAACTAGGTCTTCTTAGAAGTCGTTGGTCACTAACTCAAAATATATCTATATCTGAGTATTGTTTCAGTCAAGATCCATGCCCATTTTTCTTCTACAAGAGTTGCTTTATTGCTAACAAACAGATCTCTGAAATGAGCTTTTGGACTTGAGGGTATCTGAAAAAAACTCTGTCACAACAAAAATGGATGCCCCCACTGAAGAAACTGGGGGAGGAAAATCCCTTTTCGATGAATTGTCTGAGGTTACTTCTAAACCTGCTGATAATGATGAGTGGCCAACAGCAGTACGTGCAGATGAAAGGACAACAGCCAATTTATGCGCTCCTGGGAAGAATGAAAGAGAAAATTTGCCTTCTCGTCACCGGAAAGAACGTAAGTCAGCTGGCAAGTTATTTAGACAATTTAGATTTTTAGATCTAATCTAGATATATCTAGATCTAGATCTAGATCTAGATCTAGATCTAGAGTATAATCTTAAGAAAAGATTCTAGATTCTAGATGTAGAATCTATAGTCTAGGAGGATAAAGAGTTGTCCTCGTAAATTTGAAAAAATAAAGTTTTTTTTCTAGAATCTAAATCTAGATCTAATCTAGATCTAGATCTAGATCTAGATCTAGATCTAGTAGGCGCTGGCTAGGTATCTAGTTTCCATTCTCTGAGGTTGCCAGTTTTTGTTCGGTCCCCCCCACCCCCACCCCCTACACACGACGCACATAGACATATAACACAGGCACAGGCCTAAATCTAGATCTACATGATATAGGCCTATAGAATATAGGCCTTGATCTAGATCTAGATCTAGATTCTAGATCTATAGTCTATATCATGCTTTTCTGGCTGTGATCCCCAGTTAACTCAACTACAATTATACATTAGATTAGACTACGCAAGTGGCTATCCTCACCCCGGGTGAGAATAAAAATACGATCAACCTCTCACCCCGAGTGAGAATAAAAATACGATCAACCTCTCACCCCGAGTGAGACTTGCCAGTCTTGGCTTTCCGAATTTCTGAATACTGTCTATTTGAGTGGATGATCAGATAGACAACAACAAAGAAAAAATGACGTTAGCACAAAAGTAAGCTAATGCCCTAATTTGATCGTCAACAAATATGCTATGGCTATTTCACTTTTCGAATCGAGCCGAACTACGCGGGTTGCCATTTTGTTTTGCCCAGGAGTTCTCGCGCTACTCTTCTCTCCCCCCCTCTCTCTCTCTCTCTCTCTCTCTCTCTCGTTCTCTCTCACTGCCCTCAAACGAAATTGCATGCTTTCAACACAAGAGCGCTGTCATGAACGTTTATTCACTGTGAACGCTACACTTGTTGGCCTTTCACAGTGAAGGCACACCGGGTGAGAATATTCCAAAGACCCGCCTGCGCTATTCTCAGTGGCCATAAACTACACTTTTGGTGCTTCTTCGTTGTAGATTGTGTTTTTACTTTTTATGCCACGAAAGGGATATTCAGGAAGGGGAGGGGGTTATTATGGATGTTTTAGAATCTAAATAAGCTTGAATTAGGCTTATTAAATGTTTATACCTATGTCGGTGAAGGAAGTCGTAGGCTAATTATTTCAAGCCAAACTGGGTCAAGCACGTGATGAACCTTTTTATTTTTATGAAACCTTTTCCAATAAGTGGGGGTTTCTTTATATACCTTATAAAATCCTTTCATATTTCAATAAAAATGGTGCAACAGCTTTGAAATTTATATTGCTTCATGCATATCGTCGGCCTTGTGATAAAACCGACTAACCCCAGCGAGGTAAATTTTACAAGAGAAGGTAAAAACTGTTTTATTTCAAAACAAATGCGTCTAACGACAAACCAATGCTTTAAACAGTTATAAAAACACTTTACCGAATAACTGTAGACCTTTTTTTCCTTGAAAAATCGCTTTTAATGAAACTGCGTGGGTTTGACAGTTATGTCGCTTAAATTTTTCAGGATAAAACCGACCAACCCTCAATTTTGTGGGTTGGCCGGTTTTATCAGGAAGCCACTGCTGGCCTTGAGTTTGGTTGAGTGCAGCCACGCCACACTTGGCGGTAGCGTATTTAATCAGTTGTTTCTATCGTCGTGATCTTTTGTAGAAAAAGAAGAAGAAGAAGAGGAAAAGGAGGAGGAGGAAGAGGGTGAGGAGGAGGAGGATAAGGAGAAAAAAGGAGGAGAAGGAGGAGTAAGAAGAAGAAGAAGGAAGAGGAGGAGGACGATATTATTGCTACCAACATACTATCAGCTGCTGCCATTTCAGTGCTACGGAGTCAATTCGGACAAAAATAGCAGTCACAAAGTTGAACCTTTAACTTAAATAGCTTGTAGAAGAAGCAGAACACAGCAATGGGTATATATTAATTACATTTGCAGTAGAAGAACAGGAGGTTCAAAGGGTAAGGGGGATCAGCTACAGCAAAAACAACACTAGTAGCAGCAGCATCAGCAGGCCTTTAGAATTTATGACAGTGTCTGACTCGGTACTATTGGTACTGGGTGGCCTTTCAAATGCCTGGAAAAAAGTAATACTAAGAAAGAAATGAAAGCAGAAAGGCACACAAAAGCTCTGCTATCTCAGCAATGGTTTGGTTGAAGTTGGTTACATAATAATATCGCCTGCTTTTCTCCCTGGACAGATTGTCTAGTGCTCTCCGACCTTTGCGAAATCTTTGAAAAGCTGTGGCCCAGGTAAATAACTTCATAGGGCCTGGGAATGCGTCTGGCTTGGAGCATGATGTTCACATAGTCCATTGGGATGTACATTAGTGCGTTTTGGAGCGATCGCTCAATAGTGCCATGGACTGAATCCACTTCCATCTGGGTATGGCCCGTGGTGAGAATTTCTGCTCAACTGTGATGTCAAGCTCTTTGGCCAGCGAGGCCATTGCACTCTCCAGGGTGGCATTTCTGTTTTAGTAGTTGCACCAATCACTGCAGATGACGAGGTGGTTGAAGTCAGTCACTTGCAATATCAATTCGTGAGTCAGACAGGCTAAAAATTGTTGAAGCTCAGACCAACTTCACTTTTATACCAGACCTATCATCTGGCGTCTCTGGTGGCAAAATTCTAAATCGTAAAATTGAGTACAGCCAGTTTTGTTTTATAATATAAGGAGGATGTCTTTAGATGAGGCCAGAAGGATGCACTGGATCTCCATACAAAGAACACACACTTTGTTCTCTAGGTTCAGTGCAGCCTTCCTGTCCTTCTCCTTCTCTGGTCTAGCTGCAGCTTTCCTCATATTCAAATTTGATGAGCTGAGTATTATGTTTCTGTGTGGTTTCCAGATTCGGAGCTGGTGCAAATGTCGCACTGGTCTTTCTTTGTTGAAAGTAAACCCAAATCATTTTTCTTGAACTTTTGGCAGAACACTTGATAGCTCAATGTGGCTTTCACCCTCTCTGCAAAGTTCTCCATGTATACTTGATGCGGATCTGACGTTTTCTGGATTGTCATCTGTAGACAGGATGATATCTTCGAAAGTTTGTCAAAAAATTCCTCTCCTCTTTATGGAACAACTTGTCATCCTTGGCTCTCTTATGGTGGGTGTGATGTGTTCTAGGGGGTGGGGGGGGGACCTCTTGGTTGTTGTTTTTTTTGGAGAAGAAACTTTAAATAAACCAGTAGGTCAGGAGTGTGGTGTTCATGAAGATTGTTTTACAAACTTTGACCATTGACTCTTTTAAGTGGTATTGAATGGTGTCATTTCTCCTTGGGTTTTCACTTGCTGTGTAAGATCTCTTTTTGTCTATCCTGTTTATCATGGCATTTTATACCTAGGCTCTTTTTTCTTTCCAAGAGAGTGACCAGTCATTGCATTTTGTACCAACCAGTTTACAACTGCAAAGGACGTTGAGTTCACACCCTGCTTGCTTTGTGCCTCCTTGACATGATGTGTTGAGGCATTTCCAGTTCTTTCAACCTCTTCATTTTGTTACCCTTCCAATCGTTTTCATGCCATGTCCTTTTCGCAGAGATCAAAGGTGACATAACTGTTGTATTATCAGCTGATGATTAGTTTGGTCACGTTGATCACTTTCCACTGTGCTGAGGGTCAGAGGTGAGGCAGCAAGGGTGGCATCATCTTATTGAATGTTATAGCGTTATGTAAGTTAAGGTTTGATATAAAGATAAAGCATTATGTTATGACACTTAGAAAATAATCTACACAAACACAAACGAAGAAAGTCGAAAGATGTTTCAGAAGGTATTGACTGCAATAAACACTGCAAATGAAAGAAAAAAAAGAAAAAGTATTTTTTAAAAAAAGATCGTTGGGGGCAGATAATGTGCTGGGCAGGTCCCACACTTTTTTCTGAGTGAGTTAGTAAATAATGAAAAGTTACCGACTTCGTGGATTCAATTGCGATGGAAAAAATATGGAGAAGAGACAGTAGTCCAAATAAGGGAAAATGCCTTAATAATTCGGTAACTTTCAAGTACAAAGACAAAGAAGAACGTGTGGGCAGACAAAATAGTTTCAAATGAAACAAAATCCATAAAGATGCGTTTGAAAAACCGGCATTGTCTTGTCACGAGATAAACAGTTCTGTGGGAACAGTGGAGAGTTTTAGTCATTAATAACATTATCAGCAGCATTAAACGAAGAAAAAAGAGG